AATAATTGCCTATTAATTCTTTATTATTGGGTTTTCTACCTGCTTTCCAAAAAAAAAAAAAAAAAACCTAGAGAAGCTAAAACGAATTAAAAGGGAACTCAAAAGTCATTTGTAGAAAGTGGAGGAAATATCGGTATGCACTTGACTTGGTTGGTTCTAAGCTTCCTCTCAGTTAAGATAATGACATGAGCTACACATCATCATTGTCATATAAAGTAAAAGGGGGTAACTGATGGTAACTAGCATATTTTTCTGGATTAATCAGTAAAATATGTATTTCATAGACATTTTACCGCACATTGAGGACTATTTAGTGTTTTGAGGAAGAGTTTAGATTTTCATAACTTGCCATTTGTAAAATTTAATCCATGCTGGGAAGGCAGTATACGTAATTTCAAAATGCTGTATGACATGGAACTGCCTATAAATAACAGTTTATATGTGCTAAAAAGATTAGTCTTCTAGGTGGCACAGTGGTTAAGGTGCTGGACTCCATATGGCCAACTGTGGTGGCTTGAAAGTCACATCAGGTGGGTGCCAGATATCCCAGGAGAATGGAGAAGGGAGTGTGATGTGGCCGTCCCCCAGTAGGGGTGATTTCTCACTTTCCCTCTCACTCTTTCTTTCTATGTATCTCTGGTGAGTGCATGCACCCTATGGCAAAACCTAAATAAAAAAATAAATAATTAGTCTTCTAAATAAATAAAAATCTGAGAAAGTAATATCACAAAATTCACAAACCAGTTTGGAGATTTATTTTTCTTTTTTCAGTATAGCAAAACTTACTTTAGGATATGACATTTTAAAGATATCAAAGATATCTTTTAAGATGACATTAGGGGCCAGCAGGTGGTGTGGTGGTCAAGGGTGCTGGACTCTCATATGACTGACCACAGTTCAAGTCCCAGACCTGGTGGCTTGCGTGCTCTCCCTCTCTCTCTCTCTCTCTCTCTTCCCTCTCTCTCGCTCTCTCTCTCTCTCTCTCTCTTTCTGTCTCGCTCTGGTCAAATTGAAAATGACTATAAAGATAGATAAAATAAAAGAAAAATTTTTAAAAGATGACATTAAATAATAAATAGTATGATTCAGCAATTTTATTGTGTATCTATATCTTTGCTATGCAGTGATTTTTTTTTTAACTTAATGTCCAAGAAAGGTCAATTGAATAATAAATAGTATTAGGTTGGTGCAAAAGTAATTACAGTTTTACATTGTTGAAATTTGCCATTTGATATGGTGTACATTCTTAAATAAAAGTGGTTATGTTATACATCGTTTTGATGTGCATTTCTTGCTTTATCTTTTTTTACTAATGACTTATTACTTGCTATTTATTTTATATGTATTTTAGATTATGGAAAGGATGTTAGACAAAAAGCAAATCTGAGCAATTTTCTTATTTGAGTTCAAAAATGGGTCATAGAGGGAACCAGCAGTTAGCGTAATGGCTATGTCGCTGGACTCCCACGTAGTCGACTACGGTTCATGTCCTGGACCCGGTGGCTTGAAACTCACGCCGGGCACGTGTGCATGCATGCCCAAGATCCCGAGAGGAGAATGGAGGAGAAGGGATTGCGGCATGACCATCCCCCCTGGGGGGTGATCTCTTGCTTTCTGTCTCTGTGTATCTCTCTGTCTGTCTGGCGAGCGCACGCGCCCTATAGTGAAAACCTCTCCAAAAAAAAATGGATCATAGAGCAGTGGAGACAACTCATGACAGCAACACACTGGCCTAGGAACTGCTAATGAACATACGATGCAGTGGTGGTTTTAGAAGTTTTGCAGAGAAGACGAGAGCCTTGAAGATGAGGAATGTAGTTATTCGCCTTTGGAAGTTGACAACAACCAACTGAGAGACCTATCAGAATTGAACGTCTTACAACTAGGATGTTGCCAAAGAACTCAGCGTTGATCATTCTATAGTCGTTCAGCATTTGAAGCAATTTGAAAGGTGAAAAAGCTCAATAAGTGGGTGTTTCATGAGTTGATAGAAAATCTAAAAAAGGGTTTTGAAGTGTCTCCCTTTCTTATTCTACAAAACAAAAACAAATCATTTCTCAGTTGAATTGTGACATGCAGTGAAAAATGGATTTTTTTGACAGCTCAGGGGTTGGACTGAAAAGAAGCTCCAGACTTTTCCCAAAGCCAGACTTGCACCAACAAAAGATCATGGTCACTGTTTGGTAGGGTCTGACTACTACAGCTTTCTGAATCCTAGCGAAACCATTACATCCGAAAAGTATGCTCAGCAAGTCAATGAGAAGCACCAAAAGTTGCAGTATCTGCAGCTGAAATTGGTCAACTGAAAGGCCCCGAGTTCTTCTCCAGGGCAATACTCGACCACATGTTGCATAACAAATGCTTCAGAAGTTGACCGAATTAGGCTACAAAGTTCGACATCTCACCAACCGACTACCACTTCTTCCATCATCTTGACAAGTTTTTGCTGGGAAAAGGTTTCCACAACCAGCAGGATGCAGAAGATGCTTTCCCAGAGTCTGTCAAATCCCCAAGCATGAATTTTTATGCTACAGGAATAAACAAACTTATTTCTTGTTGCCAAAACTGGTTGATTGTAATGGTTCTAATTTTGATTAATAAAGATGTGTTTGAGCCTAGTTATAATGAGTTAAAATTCATGGTTCAAAACTGCAATTGCTTTTGCACCAACCTAATACATGAACTAAAAACACTGTTTAAAGAAATTTAGAGCTCTTTTGAAAGATAATTTTGAAACCTTTCTTTTTAATAATTCAATGAACAGATGGATGCTTCCTAATACACTTTTTTTTCTGTCTAATATTGTCCTATTAAGTGCTAAACATTATTCATTGCCTTTTGCACACAAATTTATGTGGAAATAATTTTATTTAGCTTTAGTCTTTCTAGTAGGTTGTCACAAAATTAGCATTTGTGATAAAGATTAAAAATTATTGAAGAGTTATAGCAATTAATATATGATTTGTATTAGCTATATTACTTTACCAACTAGCAAAAAAAAATTTTTCTACCAACCTAAGTATATGTGAATGATTTCTTTTAGTTTCAAAGGGGTAGAATCTTTCAATGACTGTAGCCTATAAAAAGAAATGAATCCTAAGTCATATTAATTTAATACATTTATATCACAATTAATAGTTTTAGTACATTTAATACCATGGTGTTTAAATAATTTCCTCTATGGACTTATTTATCCTTGAACCAGTAAAGCAGAGGACTTCCACCATTTCTTCAATATCACTGGAGTAGTATTTTTTTTAATGGTTAAAATTGGAAAATATACTGATTTTTCCTGAGATCTTGCTAGTGGAAGAAGGATAAAGTATTATTTGGAAAGCTTTTTTTTAAAAAGTATTTATTTATTATTGTTTAATTTGCTATAGGGCATATGTGTTCACCAGAGAGAGACAGAGAGAGGGAATGTGAGAAAGCAAACACTGGGTCCAGGACTTGAACCACAGTTAGCCATGTAGGAGTCGAGCACCCTAACCACCATGCCACCTGCTGGCCCCAGAAAGCTTCTTTTGAGAAGTGTTAGTTTTGTGAAAATAATTCTGTGAAATATTTTAATGACACCAAAGTACCTTTAAAAGTTTCAGCTATAACCCTATGAATATATATTATTGAAGAGGAGTTTTTCTTACTTAATATATAAATGTTCAACAACTGGATGTTTACTCTTTTCTATTACATTAGGATGAGACATATGACATGGTTGATTATTTTACAAATTTAAGATTTACTTAAGTTTTTAAAATTAACATTCCGGGAGCCAGCAGATGGCATAGCGGTTATGTCACCAGACTCCCAGATGGTCAACCACGGTTCAAATCCTGGACCTGGTGGCTTGAAAGTCATGCCTAATATATGTGCGTGCGTGCATGCACAAGATCCCACAAGGAGAATGGAGAAGGGATTGCAGTGTGATCATCCACCCTGGGGGTTGATTTCTCACTTTCCCTCTCTCTATCTCTGTCTCTCTCCAGTGAGTGCACATACCCTAAGACAAAAACCTTTACTAAGAAAAAAATTAACAGTCAGGCCTGTTATATTAAATTAGCCCTTTAAAATGTTTAAAGTTCTATTAAAGAGAATAACTATTTCCAAGAGACAGTTTCTTCTTTTAAAGACAGTTTTCTTTATTATCATTAAATATACAATTAGCAGTGCCAAACCTACACAAGATGGTGAGGTTTTTCTTTTCTGTGTGTGTGTGTGTGTGTGTGTGTGTGTGTGTGTGTGTATGTGTGTGTTTCATGAGAGAGTCAGTGATAGAGACAGACAGTGAAAGACAAATACCTCCAATAGAGTTAATAGTATGATCTCCCCTGGCCCTCCTAGCCTTCCTACCGGGCCAGAATCATGTGTGCGTGACCCTAGCATGTGCAGGTCAGCTCATCAGGAACCAAAACCACGATATTCCATGTAGATCCAGTTTCTCTTTGAGCAGCTAATTACTGCTGTGACACCAAGCTTGGCCTCGCTTTCTTAAATCTTCGAGTTCCCTGTTCTTCTACCTTCTTAGTATTTGGTCTTCCTTCCCACTTCAAGTTACCCAGTGTTTTCCCAATCTTGTCTATCTGGAAATAAAGTCATCCAAATTAACATATTATACAGTCTGTGTTACCTGCATTTTTTAAAAAAAGAATGGTTAAATAAACCAGTAACTGAGATACACACACACACGCACACACACACACACACACACACGATGAAGAATAGTTGAAGAATAATAGTGAATGATTGGATTTGTGGATGGATGGATGAAAGCACTATAATAGGGTTTCAAGCATATAAGAAGTCTTTCCATCAAGACATTTATCCAGGCCTCATACTGTGTAGGTGATGATCTGTCCTGTTGAAGAGAGTCTGTCAGGTAGATTCTACCACAACTTTGCTGTTGTAGTATATCAACCACTGACGTGTATTATTAACTTTCTTCTTTTGTCACTTGTCATGCTAGCTTGAAATCAAATCCCTTTTTTGTTTGTTTGTTCAAGACTGAAAGAGCATATTCCTTTTGTGGAACTATTGAATACATGGCACCAGATATCGTTAGAGGGGGAGATTCAGGACACGACAAGGTAAGTTCTATTTTTGACATTTCTTTATATAGTTCCATGAAATATGTGATCGGAATCCTAGTTAATAACTTAGATATAGTCTCTTTACAGTGACCTGTGGTGGTAATTGTCTTACCTTTTTTTTTTTTTTTTTCTCTCTCTCTCTTTTGCTTTGTTACCTGAACATGATATCTAGTGTCTTGGAGAAAACGTTACTAGAAAGTTTAGGGCGATTTTGAGGTTTTATTGGTAAGGATTTTTTTTTAAGTCTTTTTTTTTTAAGTTATTTATTCATTCTTTTATCTTAATTTGACCAGAGAGAAACAGAGAGAGAGAGGAAGTAAGAAAGCAAGCTGCCAGGTCCAGAACTATGAGCCATGGTGAGCCATGTGGAGGTGTCCAGTGCCTTAACCACCACACCACCTGCTGGTCCCTTGGTAAGGATTTTTAAAAAAATTGTTTTATAGAGTAAGTCTTACTTAAGTTGAGAGCTCAAATCTTACCATTTCTTCAAATACTTTTTATTTTATTTCCATTTAAAAAGCCTGTATCTTAAGGAAAGCACCAAGTAGGGCTGCATTAAAAAAAAAAAAAAAAAAACCAATTACTGTTCTGTTACATGGATACAGTCTTTTAGGAGACAGGTGAACCAAGTGCACTGCAGAGGCATCCCATGGTGCATAAACGGCGCACATTGCTTCTGTCTGAGTCCTGATGAATGACTTTGGACTGTGCTTGCTGCCATTATTAATTTCTGCTGGAAATCATACCAAAACATATAATTTTCTGTTCTACCTTTAGTTAATATTTGCTTTCTAAGAGGTTATTGGGAGGTCACTGAAAAGGGAATCACTCATAGTTTCTTACTCCCAATTTCTGCCTTTAACTTTGCAGAAATGCAGTAGACTTTGTTGACTATCTTTCCAGCAAAAATAGATAATAACTACCCTTCAAAAGAGAAAAAAGAATTTGCTTTTAAGTAGTCTTAAGTTTTCCTAAACCCTCTAAAAACCTCAGCTTACTGGCCTTCTCCCTTCTTTTGGATGAGCAAGTGAAGCTTATAGAAGAAATCTTCTAAGTAGTAATTATCTTACAAAGCCTAGGTCACTTTTTTATCCTCGTATTAAAGAGTACAAAATTTGTTGAGTTTTTCATAATATATTTCCTTTTTTTAAAAGTTTTTTTTTTCAATTTGATTTATTATTATTATTTTCTAATTTGTCATAGGGCATGTGTGCTCACCAGAGAGAGCGACAGAGAGGAAAAGTGAGAAAGCAACATGCCAGTCAAGGACTCAAATGTGGTCAGCCATGTGGGAATCCAGCACCTTAACTACCACGCCATCTGCTGGCCCCAACACATTTGCTTTATTAGTAACTTCCTTCAAAGAAAAAAATTCTGGTTTTGTTCAACTTCTCTGCTTCATCCCCTGAGTGTGGAGAATCTTTGGTCTCCTTATTAATGCTAATCATATATTTGAAAGTTCACTTTGTCAAGTTTGTGTACTATTGGTTTCTGGCTTATGACTGGAAGTTGGATTATAGGTCTGTCTCAGTTGAAAGTATAGTTTTAAATCCAACCACGAAACATCCTGTGATTCTAACACAAATGGCAGCGAAATTGCCTGTATTCACTGGAAGAGTTGATGCTGGTTTTGCTTCATGATATTCTTTGAGGCTATTGTGGAGTATGGTAGGAATTTATAACTGTCACGGTTTTGAAAATTATCTTCTAAGACTCAGTGGAGCCAGTTTTTCGGATAAGAAAAAACTTAAATTGACTCCTGGAATTTCTGCATACCTAAAGTCCAGAATACAGTTATTAAATATTCTTTCCTGAACGTGGAACACCTTGATGACTTCAATTAAGTGAGATAATACAGAGTGCTTGCACAATGTCTGGCATGGAGGAAGTTTTCAGTAAACACTTTTCCTCTCTTAATTTCAGCTTGCCTGAACCTATTTTCTGTCAGTGATCCTGTTTGCTTTAAACTAGCTCAATGCTCATTAGTTTTTTTTTTTTTTTTTTTGGTCACCTCTGTAAAACTTTGGCCCTGGAATTTAAAGACAAATAGACTGAAATTTTAACCTCCAGTTAATATTTCTTGTTGGTGTAAGCTGATATGTTTAACAGCTACCAAAATCCTGATTTCCCAGATTATAAAAGAACTGTTTTCAGTATATCGATATTTGTTAAACCATATATAATTTGCTATCCTCTCAGTTCAGGTAACTGCATTTACAAATTGGGTTCTAATTTAGAACACATTTTATTTTATTTTAAATTTTCCCAGCAGTGGCAAGTGATTTATGTTATACATTCTATGAGAAGAATTGCTCTAGGTCCTTATGGAAAAATAACACTTCTCTATGAAATAACTTTTTATTTTTGTCTTTTGATTCTATAGAATTTCATAAAGTTCATTGGAGTTAAATACTTAATAAAATTCTGCTTGGTACTTTTTCCTTATCATAAGCTCAGAGATTTTCGCTATTTAAAATTTTTAAAATTTATTTCAACTTTACATTTCTTTTTGTTTAATTAAGGTAAAAACAGTTACTGCTTTAGGAAATAATTAAAACACTTTCCTTGCTGAGAATACCTGATAATCTGCCCTCTAAATGTCTTTCTTGCTAATTACTACTATGCTAATTACTACTCTTTGCATAGAATGTCAGGTTCAAAATCTTACTGTAAAATAATTGGGACCAGGAAGAGCAGGTGGTGTATTGGTTATGTCGCTGGACTCCTATGTAGTTGACTGCACTTGGTTGACCCAGTGGCATAAAATTCATACCAAGCACGTGTGCGTGCGTGCCCAAAATTTCAAGAGGAGAGTGAAGGAGAAGGGATGGTAGCATGGTCATCCCCCCTGGGGGGTGATTTCTCGCTTTCTGTCTCTTTATCTTTGTCTCTCCGGTGAGCCCATGTGCCCTCTAGCAAAAAAAAAAAAAAAAAAATTCTCACAAAAAAGGAAGAAAATAATTGGGGCCATCTGGTGGCATAGTTGTAGGGCACTGGACTCCCACATGGCAACCACAGTTCGAGTCCTGAACATGATGGCTTGCTTTCTCACTTTCCTTCTCTCTGTCTCTCTCTGATGACTATAGCTAGTTTTAAAATAATAATAACAAATAAAATAAATAATTCTTAAAATATTTTCCAAATACATAGCTCTTTTTGTTCATTTTTTTCTTTCTTCTAAAACATGTCTTAGCTGATAATTGTATTAAATGAAATTATCGTTGTTTTCTAGGCAGTTGACTGGTGGAGTTTAGGTGTTCTAACGTATGAATTACTAACTGGAGCATCTCCTTTCACTGTTGATGGAGAAAAAAATTCCCAAGCTGAAATATCTAGGTAAGATTTAACAAAATGCAATTAGCATACTGTTTTCTCAAAAGAAACGATCAAATTTCTGCGGTTAGATCAATGAGTAAAAAATAATTTTTAAAAGAGTGGTTGTTTAATGTTGTGTAAGTGATAAATTTTCATTTAAATTTACACAACCTATAGATATATAACCTTTATATTTCTTTATATTTCATGCACCCACTAAGATCTGAAGTTTCGGAGGAATAGTGTCATTTTTTTTTTCTGCTCCAAAGTACTTGCCATATTGTCTTACACCTAGTAGGTATAGCATACACTGATAAATTTATTTAGTGAATACTTTTTTCCCACCGTATGCATAATGTAATTCCTGTCTGAGGTTAGCATTAGGGAAGAACAGAAATTATATTTTTCACCTCTTGGATGTATGTTGTAGGCTCAACAGAAACAAATGCAATGAAGTCACCCTCCTTTAGTTACCTTCTTCTCATGATTAGTTTGTTCACTTCCTTCATAGCATATCATAATTGCTGTATTACATTTTTGTTTATAATTATTTGATTAATGTCTGTCTCACTAGATTGTAAGCTCTGTGAGAGCAAGGGACATGTCTGGCTTGGATCTTCAGTCCTTGCTGTGCAGCGTTTAATAAACATTTGTGGAATGAGATGAGTTAATGAACATATAAAAGACAAGTGAGAACCATTATACTAATAGGCTATGTGTTTGTCCTGAGTTTACTTGAATTTTATAACTTTAAAAACAGATTTGACATTAAAAGTTAAAAAACTGAGATTCTACTTCCAATGAAGATGGAGTAACAGGGACTGGATTTACCTTCCTGCCTGAAACAGTTTTAACAATGGGCAAAATACATGAAACAACAGTTTTTTGTGGTTTTTTGGAGAGGTTTTCGCTATAGGGCACGTGTGCTCCCCAGACAGACAGAGAGAGACAGAGAGACAGAAAGCGAGAAATCACCCTCCAGAGGGGATGGTCACGCTGCAATCCCTTCTCCTCCATTCTCCTCTCGGGATCTTGGGCACGCACGCACACATGACCGGCATGAGTTTTAAGCCACCGGGTCTGGGACTCGAACCGCGGTCGACTACGTGGGAGTCCAGTGACATAGCCATTACGCTAACTGCTGGTTCCCAAACAACAGTTTTGAAGTCATTGCACGTCTGGCAATGAAGGACAGTGATCCCTGAGGGATGGAAAATAAGCGAGGTGAGCCCCATGATTGCCCCAGCCTGCCTCCTTGAGAGGGAACCTAGATGGTGTTGAGATGAAAGTCGAGTCCAGAAGACCAAGGTGCTGTAGCTGAGAAGCTGTGCAGAGAGGATGGTCTGGAGACTAACAGAAGGCGTCAACTGAGTTTTCATAAACCCTCGTGAGGGAACTACTCAACATAGTTACGATGTCATTTCTCTTCAAAATGATCTATACAGTCAGTATTCTCAAAATTCCAGCAAGCTTTTTTTTTCTTTAATAGAAATTGACGATCTGGGTCTAAAATTCATAACAAAGATGCAAAGGACCTAGCACAGCAAATTGCCTTTGGGAAAAAATAGAACAAAGTTGATTGTCAGACCTATAAGCTATAATAACCAAGACATTGTGGTATTTGGTATCAAGATAGATAAAGATCAATGGAACAGAAAAAAAGAGTTCAGAAATACATATATATAAACATATACACACATATGTAAATATATACATATACATATACTACCAAGGAAAATGTTCTTTCAAAAGCTTGTACATGAGGGAACCCAGCAGTTAGCGTAATGGCTATGTCGCTGGACTCCCACGTAGTCGACTGCGGTTCGTGTCCCGGACCCGGTGGCTTAAAACTCACGCCGGGCGCGTGTGCGTGCGTGCCCAAGATCCCGAGAGGAGAATGGAGGAGAAGGGATTGCGGCGTGACCATCCCCCCTGGGGGGTGATTTCTCGTTTTCTGTCTCTATGTCTCTCTCTGTCTGTCTGGCGAGCGCACGCGCCCTACAGTGAAAATCTCTCCAAAAAAAAAAAAAAGCTTGTACATGAGTGTTTACAACAACAACATTGTTTGTGATAACCAAACCTGGAATTAACCCAGTGTCTATTAACAAGTGAGTGGTTAAACCAAGTCATGGTTTATCCATGTAAATGGAATACTACTTAGTAATAATTTTTTTAAAATGATCTGTTGATAAATACAACACATATGAATCTCAGAATAATTATGTTCAGTGAGAGGAGCCACACAATTTAGTGTATATTGTATAAAACAGTGTGTGTTGTTTGATTCCGTTTCTGGAAAATGCAAACTAATCTATAGTGAAAGAAAGCAGAGTAGTATAATACTGGGCTGTCTGGAAAGATGCATTTTTGTGTAGGAAAACCAAACACTACACATGACTTTCACAACAGCCTGATAGTCTGGAGACTGGGATGAGGGGAGAACAAGAGAGATGACAGAGGAGGACAGACAACTTTGGAAGTGATGGCGATGTCCGTTTTCTTGATGGTGGTGAACATTTCACAGGTGTATGCTTTATGCACATGTCAGAACTTACCAAATTATACTAAAGTGAAATTCATTGTATATTAATTGTACTTCAATAAAACTCTTTAAAAATATTTTAAATGTACCTCTTCCAAGACAGGCTAATTACTTATAATAGCATTTTCTCACTATTTCTGTTTATTTAATACTAAAGTTAAGTAAACAGGAATACGTCTTTTTTAAGATCATAGTGCACCCAGCTTAAAGTGGCTGGATCTTACATGGGTGACTGTACAATTGGAGTCCCCAGACCCGGCGGCTTGAAAAACACACTGGGCATGTTTGTGTGCTTGCCCAAAATTCCAAAAGGAGGAAGAAATGGAGGACAAGGGATTGCGGCATGACCATACCCATGGGAGAGTGCTTTCTTGCTTGCTTTCTCTCTTCCCCTCTCTCTTTCTGGCAAGCATACATACCCTCTGGAAATTTTTAAAAATCATAATGAGTTGGGGCCAGGAGGTGGTGTAGTGGTTAAGGGCACTGGACTCCCACATGACTGACCACAGTTTGAGTCCCTGGACCTGGTGGCTTGCTTTCTCTCTCTCTCTCTCCTCTGTCTCTCTCCATTCCTCTCTGGTCAAATAAAAATAAATTAATACGTAAATAAAATTAAGTTCAATAAAAAAAATAATTCTTTAAAAAAAGATTATAGTTAGGGACCAGCAGTTAGCGTAATGGCTATGTCACTGAACTCCCATGTAGTCGACTGCATTTCAAGTCCCGGACCCGGTGGCTTAAAACTCACGCCGGGTGGGGGTGTGTGCGTGCCCAAGATCCCGAGAGGAGAATGGAGGAAAAGGGATTGCAGTGTGGTCATCTCCCCTGGGGGGGTGATTTCTTGCTTTCTGTCTCTCTGCTCTCTCTGTCTCTCTGGCGAGCGCATGCACCCTGTAGCAAAAAACCTCTTCCCCCAAAAAAAATATCATAAAGTCATACCGGTTATGGGATCAGTAGGCTTGAAAATCACACTGGGCATGTTTACATGCATGCCCAAATTCCCAGAGGTCACTGGAAGGGAAGGTATTGTGGTATGGCCATTGTCCCTGGGGGGTAATTTCTCACTTTCCCCTTCTCTCTCTGTCTCCCTCTGGTGTCCTATAACAAAAACTAAAAAAGAAAAAGGAAAAAAATAAAAACCCACACCATTTATGAAAAAAACATCCAAATGTGCCTATAAATGGATTTTTGACAGTTTGAAAATTACTCGGAATTACTGGAAACTTAGACATAGTCTTGAGAATTTGGGTCCTGTTGCAAGGCCATCCTGCTATGGTAACCGGTGCAGAGTGGCCTTAGTCTGATGACATTAAATAGTGGCTTCTCTGACTAATTTCCTTCTTGCTGATTCCACATCCACAGACAATCATTTTATGATTTTCCTTTCCACTGTAGGTCTGTCTGTAGAGAGAAATATATCGCTTATAGTGGCAGGAATATTCTGAACCAAGAAAAACATAGAAAACTACACATTTAAATTGCGTTTATTCCCCTTATATCAATTAGTTTGCATTCTGATGTTAGAAAGAGAGTGTGTGAATCAGATTGCTTGAATTACTAAAACTAAAGCAGATAGATTTTTCAAGATTTTAAATAGAACTCCTCTTGAAGCTGTCAGTTATGTTCACTCTGTCATGCGCGTGATTTTGCGTAAAGCTTGGTCTTATCTTGTGATTCTCTTGGGGGGGGTGTTTTGTGATTGTAGTTTACAAACAGTGTAATAATTGAATTATTCTACATTGCCTTTTCCTTTCAAGATAATCATCCTGATTGTCTTTCCTGGCATAAAATATTTCGTAATCTGTTCTTAAAATATATTTCATTTAGGTAAATACATCATTATCTTGCCCTCCAAAGTCTTAATTAAGACTTTTTTCATCATTGAATTCTTCCATTCCTTAATTATTAATCATCTTTCCTGAACTCTGTATAGTTCGTATAAGTTTTCTTTCAGGTATTTCAAAATAATATATTACCCATGTCATCTCTTTACCATTGTTGTCTACAGGTAGCCTAAAATTGGGATAAAAATGCTTTTCTGGTACATCAGGTTTTAGAATATGGTAAGAACTCAGAATGAGAAGGAATCTTGGAGTCCAGTTCTCTTTCCGATGAGTCTGTAAGAATCCTGCTAGTCATGTGTGGTCACTGAAAGACAGTGCCATTGGGCGAGGTATCTCTAAGGAAGCCATGTCCACTATTGTGCTTCAGTTGTATGGAGGCATCCTCCTCCCTCTCTCCCAAATAACCCACGTTATCTACTCTATGCATGTCAACCCCGGTCCTGTCTTCTCACAAACAGAGAATGATGCTGGTTTTCTTTTCAGGCATTGATTTAGATATTTGAAGATAGTTTTTATCTAAGGTAAACTTTTCTAGTTCTTTTAATGTTCATGTGGGGTAGTTTTCAGATTCATTACATCCTGGTATAGTTTTGGAAAAATATCAAATTGTCAATATTATATTCTATTGAATGATTGCTCTTTTCAAAAAATTATTTTATTTAACTTCATTCATTTGTTTATTCATTCCTTTTTAAAATTTGACCAGAGAAGGATAGAGCAAGAGAGAGAGAAAGATAGGGAAAGCGAGAAAGTAAGCCACCCCATCTGGGACTCGAACCATGGTCGGCCATATGGGAGTCCAGCGCCCCAACCACCACATCACCTGCCAGCCCCAGATTTGAATGATTGCTCTTGAGCTTTGCTGTGAATCTGTTTCTTGTTTTTTTATTTATGTTTGTAGTGTGTGCTTTTCTTATTTTTTTTGTCTTCACTAGTTCTTACTGCCTTCCCATTAGGGTATGTGTTACTGTTTCAATGGGGAGGTACCTACCCAGTCAAGGAGCTCTCCATGAGCTACTCTGCCTGCTCCTGCAAGAAGGAGGCCCTTAAAAGAAATAAAGAAATAAAGAAAGGAGGAGGAGACCCTTTACTTTCTTGGTGCAGCCCTTAAAAGAAATAAAGAAATAAAGAAAGAAGGAGGAGGAGACCCTTTACTTTCTTGGTGCTTTATAACCGTTGAGAACCAGTACATAGACTGTGCTTGCAGCTCCTCTATTATCTCTGACAGGATTGTTTCTTTGTCTCACTTCCTCTGCCTTTGAGATGGTGAAAATATTCAGCATGAGATGTTTGATATTTTTTTACCATCAAAATGGAAAACATGCTTTATTAATGTTTCATTGTATAACATGTTATAAGCACAGTGTTACATAAATTCAGGCCCAAGCGTTAGTAAGTAATGATAGGAAATGGAGTTAGTGCAGTTTAAGTCAGGGATCAGCACACAGAGGCCTACAGGCCAGATCTACACTGCCGCCTGTTTTTGTGTAGCCTCGAGCTAGTAATGATATGAAATGGAGCTCTCGTTAGTGCAGTTTAAGTCAGGGATCAGCACACAGAGGCCTACAGGCCAAATCTAGACTGCCGCCTGTTTTTGTGTAGCCTCGAGCTAAAAACAGGTTTTACATTATTAAATGATTGAGAAAACGAATAGTATTTCGTGACATGACAGTTATATTAAATTCCAATTTCATTGTCCATCAATAAAGTTTTATTAAAACGTAGCCACCACGCTTATTCATTTACATACTTTCTTTGGCTGCTTTCAAGCTACAACAGCAGAGTTGAATAGTTACCACAGAGACCCTCGAGCTTGCAGAGCCCAACATACTGTCTGGCTCTATATTTGTTTTCCATTTTCCATTTTCTACTGCCAAATAGCTTATTACCCCAAAACTTAGTAGCTTCAAACAACATATATTTCTTATCTTGTAGTTTTTGTGGATCAGGAATCTGGGCTCATACTGAACTCTACTTCAAGGTCACTCACAGGCTGCAGTCAAAGTCTTGGCTAGGCCGTGGTTATCTCAAGGCAAACTGAGAAAGGATCTGCTTCCAGACCTGTGGTTGTTGGCAAGATTCAGTTCCTTGTGGGCTGTTGGACTGAGGGCCTCAGTTCCTTGCTGGCTCTTGGCTGGAGGCCATTCTCTGTTCTCTGCCAGGTTGGCCTCTAACATGGCAACTTGCTTCATCAAAGCACATGAGCTGGAAGGGCAATTGGGAGTCTGCTAAGAAGATGGAATGGAATGTTTTGTAATCTAGTTATGAAATGACACCCTCTAATCTTTACAGTATAGTTTTGGTTGTGAAAAGATGGTAGGTCCAACCCACATTTATGGGGATATAAATACTTGAGTATACTCATCATTGGGAACCATCTTTGAAGTTTGCCCTACCATGGGTCCTTTTTATTTTCCCCTACAGAATTATTTTATTTAACTTTATTTATTTATTTATTTATTTATTTAAATTTGACCAGAGAAAGGCAGAATGAGCGAGAGAGGTTTGTGTTTTTTTTGTTTATGTTTTTGTTTTTGTTTTTTGCTATAGGGCACATGCACTCACCAGAAAGACAGAGAGAGACAGAGAGACAGTAAGCAAGAAATCACACCCCGGGGGGATGGCCATGCCGCAATCCCTTCTCCTCCATTCTCCTCGCGGGATCTTGGGCACGCACGCACAGGTGCCCGGCGTGGGTTTAAGCCACCAGACCCGGGATTCGAACTGAGGTTGACTACATGGGAGTCCAACAACATAGCCATTATGCTAACTGCTGGTCCTGATAATGGCAGTCTTTTAATAGTATTGTTACATGGATTGAATGATAGCACACACATGAAGTAATGTATGTGGCATATCAACTGAGACCCTGATTTTTCAGAGGCCTGAAGATTTACTGCGTTCTCCCTAACTGTAGTTCACTTCTGGAGTTTCCTAGATCTGTTCAGAAGTAAGAAGCAAATAACTGGATTCTTAGCAGTTCAGAAATCAAACATATTGCAGAAGGGGAAGCGACAGCAACCCCTGAGCAATGTCTCCTGCCGTTGTTGCTCAGTGTCCCACGGGAATCTTCCATCCTCAGCCCCACTTCTGCGAGCCCACTCTGCAAGCAGCAATGATCAATGAGCTGGGTTGAGGCTGACGTTTACCCTCACACGTCACAGTAGGCTGGGATTGGACACCAGTTTTACTTAGCTTTATTGGGTTTAGGGCTGTCATGGGTGGTGGTTCGTGTTCCTTCAGCAGTGCTGTTTTCAGCGGAAATTTCTTCTGATTTCTACTTAGTTTCTTCTTGATGTGGTCCCTGCCTCTTCTGAATCTAACCTGCTGACTCCTGCATACTGTATATGCCCACCATGGTTGCACACTAGTGTTGTCTGTGCTCCAAGAACACATCCCTGCTCCGCAAACACACACTTTGCCTGTGGTCTCCTTTGCTCTTGTCCAGTCTGGTCATGTGGCCTACCCATCCCACAGTCATACAACTGACATGCGGCAGAGCCAGCACTGAGCTCAGTCTGACCCCAGGGTCTCTGTTCTTAGCACACTCTGCTCTTACCTGTTTATTATCTATTTTGTTCCATAAGCATTCTTAGTATTTTAGTGCTCGGTAGAGGGTCTTTTTACACCCTACATAATGAAGTAACTGCTTATCTTCATGTGTCAAGGTTCTTCATTCAATCATGCCTTTCCCTTATGTTTTTTTTGAAGAGAGGGAAAAATATACTTGGATTGATTTCTTCTTTGATCTTAGCATAAATATCTTATGAAGAAAACTAATGACATTAATTCTCCATTTCCCCTAATAAATACTAGATCTTACTCCATCGCTGAGCTTCACTTACCTCATCTGGCTTGCAAATAATAGTAGTAAATAATGAAACGCGTTCTTTCAACCCATGAAAAGCCCCAGCTCTAGCACCCATTTTCACATATCAAGAACCAGGCCCAGCGTAAGTGGTGCAGTTCATAGTGTACAGGACTGCAGTGCTGGAAACCACATGGCGACCATGTGTTCAGATCCCCAGGTCAGCCTGAGGACACTCCAGGTACGTGCATAGGTGGCCGGGATCCAGAGAAGTTGGAGGACCAGGGAAGAGGATTGTGGTGTGACTACACCCTGTCGAAAGTGCTTTTTCTCTCTCCCGTCTTGCTAAGGCATGTACTCCCAATTACTTAACTGAGAGAAAAAAAAAAAAAAAGAATTGACCCATATTTACCTTGCTCAGGCATGTACTCCCAATTACTTAACTGGGAAAAAAAAAAAAAAAAGAATTGACCCATATTTAAGTGGTTCTGGCTCATCTGTCTTACCCCTTCCTCGTTCCCTCTGGCCCCTTATGCGTTGTGGTTCACAGGGAACATGAGGTGATGGTTGCAATTCTCTTGTTTTTTTGTTTTTGGGTGCTGAATTCACTTACTTGAATTTGTTAAGAGTTGTTCATGCTGTAAATTCTAATCTTAAGAGTTTAATCTATTGGGTCATTGGAAAAAATCATGACACATTTTTGCGCAGGAAAATATGTCACGACTTTTCGATGACCCAGTATATATGGTAGGACTAATTCTAGCTTCAAGCTTTCCTCCCCTTTCTTCTCTCCACCCCAGTGAAATATTTGGGAATGGTAGCTTCCAATTAGGATTGACTTATACTGGAAAATGATCCATTATTTTTCACTTATGCTCATTTGAGTTCAGAAGTTTCATTTTATGATATACCATTGTAAATATTTTTCACCTTTATTGAGGTATTATTTTTTTTCAAATATATTTTTTTCCTCTTTTACACATAGTTCAATTTCAAAGCGTGTTTCACTCTACTTGTGTGTGTATGTGTGTGCTAAAAACACTGTCACTGTAATTTTATCTTCTGGTTGTTTTAACAGCAAGTTTTATCTGCCTACAGGAGAATATTAAAAAGTGAGCCTCCGTATCCCCAAGAAATGAGTGCGTTAGCTAAAGACCTAATTCAGCGGCTTCTGATGAAAGACCCTAAGAAGAGATTGGGATGTGGTCCACGTGATGCAGATGAAATTAAAGAGCATCTCTTCTTTCAGGTGAAATATATTGGATGGATGGTTGATGGCCTCATACCTCCTTCCACTTTTAGAGTACTTGGCATTCTTGGTGAAATGAACACAGTTTGTGTTGGGGTCGTTTCCCACCTATTTTCATGTATGTGCTACTTTTTTTTTCTTTTTTTCTAAATGATGTATGAAATCTACTTGCACAGACGTAGATGGTTTTTTTTCTTCCTAAAAGCAGTGAGAGTGGGGAGAATCATAATACAGTCAGTTTTCTATATCCTGTGCTAATCGGTCAGAGCTTCCGAGCAGTGATTTCCATTTATGATCTCGAGATTCAGGCATATGCTCTTAAGGAAGATTTTATTTTTTACTTTTCTCTCAGCTCATGAACTATACTGCCTCTCTTTCACCTTTTAAATGAGGATTTCATCCCTTCCTCTTTTCTCAGAGGAAATCTTAGAAGATTCAAAACCTCTCTATTTCTGTTACGTGTTTATGGTGTAGTGTTATTCAGTCATTTTCTTTCTCTCTCATGGTGCGTTTCTTATTCTGAAAAGGCTGAGTGAGACCATTCTAAGAGCGCTAGTGTATCTGCTTGATTTTAGTTTGCTCATAGTCCAAGAAAACTAACAAAATATTGAATAACTGAATTTTTTTTTAAAGTGAACTTAAGTGACCATTTCAGTCTAAATGGTCAAACTTGGGATGCCACAGCCTTAGTTTCCAAAGCTGTGAGCATGTGACTTTTAAACAATTTCATCATATCAACAAGCATGCCCTAATATGTATGCTTTAAAGGGACTATTCAAGTGTTATTTCTTATTTTTATCATCAAACAAATGAAAAGAGCATACCAAAGCCAAGAAAAAAACTTGTCAGGTGAGATTTCATGTGATCATTTATTGTTTTTTAATTATTTCTTGAAAAGAATTCTCTCTCTGCTCTTCTGTGCTCAGAAAAGGGCATATTTATTTCAGTGTCTCAACATAATCATTTAAAAATATTACTTCACATCTTAAAGAAGTCCGGTACCATAAGAGATATATTTAGAATAAAGCAAAGTTTTCAGTATGTGCATTTTATAAATTCTTAGGGCTTGGAAAGGGTAGTATTTGAACACATTATTTCAAATATCTTGTTTAGAAGTTTAGCTGAAATGTAACAATCAGGTAAAATTCAAGAAACTATTTATGCACAATACCCCAATCATATTTTCCTAGGATCATTTTCTGATAGCTTAGAATAGTAATTTTATATCATTTAACTGCATCAACTTTTTAAATGATAGGGACTCTTTTGGAAAGAGGAAAGATCAGAATTCTACTTATAAAGACCTTAATGGTCTTTTTCTCTGTAAATGGAGCAGGGGTGGGAAAGATCATAATAGCATTCCATTTTCTACATATTAAACATTCTCCTGCTAACACTATTTTCCTTTAAATTATCCCTTTACAAGTCTCTCTTTATGTGTGTACATTAGCCAAGTATAAACCATCGGTTTATCATGAAAACTATTACAGCTAGAAAGTCAAGAGACGGCTCAAATCCTGGTTCCTTACCAACTGGTGTTTAAGTGGAGAGGTTTGTTCTTATTTCTGGGCTTCAGTTTTCTTCCAGATCAAGTAAGGAAACATAAATAATCTCAAACCCATTCTAGCTAAAAAGCTTCTTGATTTGTAACTTAATCATTTTACTTCATTGGCTCCACAAGAGAGATACAAAAAACATTTTATAGCCATTGGTTAAAATTTCATCCACCAAAAAGTACCCGTTTTCACATTTTTACCATCACTGAAATCAGTATGCATCTTCCAGTGGATATCATCTTTCTATTCTAATTAATCATGCTTTTTTAATGGTATGTAAGCTACTGGTGCATCTTACTATCAATGATGACTCACAGATTTGAAGAAGTGTGCAGTGTGAAACATACAGTAGGAGAGCTATAGGATTTAAATTCACTAGCTGTTATCTGAGGTTGTCGTAAGTGACACGAGGAACATAAACAGAGCAGAGGATTGGATCTGAATAGCATAAAGCATATCAGTTCCTCGGACGGTAAGTGTCTTACGTGGGCAAGAGAGGACTTGGATTATACCATGGGAAAGACAAACGCAGTGTTTAAATGGGGCTAGCCAGTGGCATGATGGTTAAGGTGGCCGGCTGTGTAATTTGAGTCCTGGACCTGGTGACTTGAGAAACACACCAGGCACATGTGTGTGTGTCCCCAAAATAAGGAGACGGTATTGTAACATGACTGTCTTCCTCACATCCTTCTCTATCTCTGGCAAGCACACATGCCCTCTAGCAAATTAAAAAAGAGGAAAAAAATGCTGGAATGTGGTTGAATGAGAGAAAGAGTAGTTACATCGCTACGATAGTATCAATTACACTTAGATACGATTGCATGATGTATAGTGAGTTTTTTTAAAAAATTACTTAATTTTATTTATTATTTTTTAATCTGACCAGAGAGAGAGGGAAGAAGAGAGAAACTGAGAAAACAAGCCACCAGGTCTGGGACTCAAACCGTGGTCAGCCAGTGAGAGTCCAGTGCCCTAACCACCATGCCGCCTGCCGGCTCAGTTTATTTTCTGACCTGTCCAAATGACCAGGTGGTAAAGCAAGTGGAGGGGGAGAGCTAAGTACACTGCCTCTAGAAAACAGAAACGTGTTTTTAGTGTTAATGATCATGTCCTTAGAGCATCTTGAAGCCCTTTATTGTGTTCTGTTTTGTTTCGGGGTTTTTTTTTTTTTTTTTTTTTTGGTTGGTTTTGTTTTGGTTTTGGCTTACCTTTCCCTGGGAGGCTTAGGACAGAAGCAAGTTTTCTGTTATCTCTAAGGGTAAACTAGGGTGTGTTGGTGCCCCCCACAGGCCACTATGAAACTCTGCAGCAATGGAAAGCAGTCTCGTCTCAGACATAGCACTAACCAGAGTTAAAAGCTACCGTCAGAAAATGTGCTCCTTCTTGGAGAGAAGAATGTTAATAATTGGTTTTAAATATGAGAGAACTTCAGAAAGTTTGTGGGAAATGGAATGAAAATAATGAGTTTATTTTTATGCAAAAAATAAACCCACACATAGTTTTCCAGAATATGCATTTTCCATGAATGTTTTGAAGACTCCTGGCATGTGCTCTTATTTTTAGTCTCTCTCCCTGTTAATCAGTTACAGTCCTAATCTCCCTTTGTTTTCCTTAGAAAGTATCTTTCAACTTTGTTGATTTCTCCTTTGTACCAATACTCTTTCTCTGTTTCAGAAAATAAATTGGGATGATTTGGCTGCCAAAAAAGTGCCTGCACCATTTAAGCCTGTGATTCGAGATGAGTTAGATGTGAGTAACTTTGCAGAAGAGTTCACAGAAATGGACCCCACCTATTCTCCTGCCGCCCTGCCCCAGAGCTCCGAGAGGCTATTTCAGGTAACCTGTGAGTGTGTGTATGTGTATGTTGACCATATGAACTTCAAAATAAAAGATTAATCTTTCCGTATTAAAGTAGTTTCACTGGCATCTTAAAAATGGGGTTCTCAGGACCAGCAGGTAGTATAGTGGTTAAAGGCGCTGGACTCCCACATGGCTGACTGCATTTAGAGTCCCAGACATGGTGGCTTGAAACTCACCCCAAGGACATGGATGTGTGTGTGTGCATGCCCAAAATCCCAGGAGGAGAATGGAGGAGAAGGAATTGCAGTGCAGCCACCCCCTGGGAGGGGGTGATTTCTCACTTTCCCTCTCACTGTTGTCTCTGTCTCTAGTGAGTGCATGTGTTCTATGGCAAAAACCTTATAAAGGGTGAGATGGTTCTTGGATCTCTTCAAAATCATTAAGTACTGCTCATTACAGATTGTTCACTGAAGCTTATAGTTTGCTAAGTAAAGATATTGTTCATGTCTTTACTGTTGATGTAAGGAGATGTTCATTTTTATCTAAAATTTAATTTTTGTTCAGGCGCTTATATGAAACATGCAATAATACTTTTATTTTACCTCTACTCCTATGAAATACTCTTTAATTCATAAACAGCGTTATCTGATTCTTTATCTTCAATGAATAATCTTTTTTTTCTACTGAATAGCCTTAAATGCTTTCATTACTTGAAAAAGATATAGACAGAATTTTCTATTTAGACTAGAACCTGGATCAGACTTAAAATATTCTGACTATTCAGTGGAATCATAGCTTTACTTTTTTTGACTCCTGTAAGTTATTTTTAGGGTAGTCTAATCTGGACACTCAGACTGCGTCCCGTGTTCTTTCCAAATCACTGTCTAGAGCATGACCAGGCACTTACTCTTTGTTTTGTTGTTTTGTTTTTAGTTGCCAGGGGGCTTGTATACTTACCAGAGAGAAACAGGGAAAGAAAAAAAAGAAGAAAGAAAGTACTCCCTAATGGTGTGTGGCCACACTATGATCCCTCCTTGTCTTTCCACCATTTGGGGATTTTAGACACACACACACATGACTAGCATGTTTTTCAAGCCACTGTGTGGGGCAGGGATTCAAACTGCAGTTGGCCATGTGGGATCTGGCTCCTTTAACCATTAGTCTATAGGGTTGGCCCATGTGGATGTTTTTGTTTTTTGTTTTGTTTTTTGAGAGATTTTTGCTGTAGGACGTATGCATTCACCAGACAGACAGAGAGAGATGGAGAGATAGAAAGCGAGAAATCACCCCCCAGGGGGGATGGCCATGCCTCAATCCCTTCTCCTCCATTCTCCTCTTGAGATCTTGGGCATGCACGCACACGTGCCCGGCGTGAGTTTAAGCCACTGGGCCTGGGACTTGAACTGTGGTCAACTACATGGGAGTTCAGCGACATAGCCATTATGCTAACTGCCGGTTCCCGTGTGGATGTTTTTTAAAACCTGTTTGTTGATGAACTAGTGAATAGTCTCGCTTGAATGGATTAACTATCCATCATTCTACCAACTTTCCTTTAAAACTGATTTTATTTCATTTTTTTTATCAGAGAGAGAAAGACACTACTCTTAAAAGTCTTGCCTTGTTGCAGTCCTTTCCCCATCCCCCCAGGCAGCCAGAATCACGGGCATGCACAGGGTACCCTGTGTCTTGCTCCAGCATCGCACAGGACATTCTGCTGCCTGCTACACTGCAGCTGGGCCACCACCTTTTAAAACAATGAAGACATAATAAACATATTACTTTTATATGGGTACAGTGTGATTTTTTAGCATGTGAATACAATGTGTAATGATCAAATTGGAGTAATGAGCACATTCCTTACCTCAAACATTTATCATTCCTTTTGGTTGGGGACATTCAGAAGTCCTCTCTCACTCGTAGCTGTTACGTGCTAGTAAATTATTACCTATACTTACGTTGCTGCGCTGTACAGCACTATCACTCACTCCTCTCACCTAGCTGTAGCTTCGTATCTGTTAACCAGCTTCTCCCCCTCCTCCCCTCCCCTCGCCCTTCCTGGCCCGTAGTAACTGTGGCCCTGTTCTCTACCTCTGCGAGGACTTTTTTCGTTTCTACATATAAATGAGAACACATGGCTTTTCCATTTTTGTGCCTGGCTTATTTCCCTTAATATAATGTCCTCGGGCTTGTTTTCATTGCCTCTTGATGGGATTTCATTCCTTTTCATGGCTGACGACTACTCCATCATCATTACACCACTTTTGGCTCAGCCCATCAGTTTGCCATTAGATTTTATTCCTTCTCCAAACTCAATGTTAAATGTAATTGTTCTCAGGACCAGCAGAGGGCATTGTGGTTACGTCGCTAGACGTAGTCGACCACAGTTTGAGTCCAGGACCTGGCTGCTTAAAATTCATGCTGAGCACATGTGCATGTGTGCCCAAAATCCCCAGAGGAGAATGGAGGAGAGGGGATTGTGGCATGGCCATCCCCCCAGGGATAATTTCTTGCTTTGTGTCTCTGTCTCTACAGCGAGCACACGTGTCCTATAGCAAAAATCTCTTGAGGGAAGAAAAAGGAATTATTCTGAAGAAATAGCATAAGAGTCAAATAATTGCTATCTTAGAAACTTATCTCTAATGAAACTTGCTATTTTTCTATTTTAAAACTAGTAGTATTTGGACTACTTTAATACCTTGACTATATGTTTTGAAAAGTTAGTCATGTTTATAAGTGAACTTTTATTAGCAATGTAAGAGAATTATAGAGATGAGTCAGATTTGGGGGTGAACACAGGGAGGAAGTCTTTTTCTCCCTTTGTTTTTGAATTGGTTTAATTCTGCCAGAAGATGGCATTATCTCCTTCCAAAAAGCATTTTTCTACTGATTTGAAATAACCCTGAATTTTGGATTACAAATAGAATAAAATTAGATTTACCTCAACAAATATTTGAGCATTTTTCTTTTTTTTTTTTAGAATTATTTTTATTTAACTTTATTTACTTATTTATTTATTTTAAATTTGACCAGAGAGGGACAGAGAAAGAGAAAGAAAGAAAGCGAGAAAGCCAGCCGCCAGGTCCAGGACTCAAACTGCAGTCGGCCATGTCAGAGTCCAGCGTCCTTAACCACCACACCACCTGTCAGCCCCACTTGAGCATTTTTTCTAAGAAAAAGAAGCATCCTAGTCTGTGCTAAACTGGATAATCTTGAGTGTCTTTACCTTTCCTCTGCTTTTCAGGGCTATTCCTTTGTTGCCCCTTCTATCCTGTTTAAACGTAATGCAGCTGTCATAGACCCTCTTCAGTTCCACATGGGAGTCGAACGTCCCGGAGTGACAAATGTCGCCAGGAGTGCCATGATGAAGGTACATAGACATGGTTGCTTAAATGTCGTATTTGTGGGTTACATGAATGTTCATATACCAACACCAATTAATGTTCTCAGGTTCAGTAAGTTTAATAGAATTACCATTCAAAAAAAGTATGGTTTTAAAAAATGAATAAATGGAAATGGCAATATTTGCCCTAAGGAATTATTAACTTTGGGTCTAGCAGTGGCATGATGGTTAAGGCATTGGACACCCACATGACTGACCACAGTTTGAGTCCCAGACCCGATGGCTTAAAAATCATGCTGGGTGCGTGTGCATGTGTACTCAAAATCCCAGGAGGAGAATGGAGGAGAAGGGACCGTGGTGTGACCATCCCCCCATGGGGTGATTTCTCACTTTCCCTCTCGCTGTCTTCCTGTCTTCAGCAAGTACACACACTCTGTGGCAAAAAGCTTTAAAAAAATAAATTATTAACATCAGTTTGGATGAGCTTCTTTGTACAATGCTGGAGAATTACATATCTTAAATGAATAGTATAGATGAAAATAGAAATAAAGAAAAATTTTAAATTATAGATGTACCCCATCTGTATCTTTTGATATAAATAATTTTTTTGAGAGGTTTTCGCTATAGGGCGCATGCGCTCGCCAGACAGACAGATAGAGACATAGAGATAGAAAGCGAGAAATCACCCCCCCAGGGGGGATGGTCACGCCGCAATCCCTTCTCCTCCATTCTCCTCTTGGGATCTTGGGCATGCACGCACACGTGCCCGGCGTCAGTTTTAAGCCACCGGTGCCGGGACGCGACCCGCGGTCAACTACGTGGGAATCCAGCGACATAGCCATTACGCTAACTGCTGGTTCCCTTGATATAAATAATTTTACCTTGATTTACAGTTTTAATTCTCCTTTACGTATCAGTCACATTCTTACATTACCTGCTGCTGGTTTCTTATCAGGACTCTCCATTCTATCAACACTATGACTTGGACCTGAAAGATAAACCCTTGGGAGAAGGAAGTTTCTCAATTTGTCGGAAGTGCGTACACAAGAAAAGTAACCAAGCATTTGCAGTCAAAATAATTAGCAAAAGGTATGACCATTTCTAGCAGTCCTTCTTACGTATTCATCCTAGTTAATGAATTCTATAAATCCAGAGATGTGATTAAAAGGAAATCAGAGGGAAACCGTCAGACCTTCACCCGTGGGTTTAGCTGCGTGGCTCCTCAGTTGATCTGCTACACTTCCAACTCTTGTAGGTATTTTCTGATAAAGTAATCCATCTGGACAGAAATCATAGTCTGATACGCTTTTGAGTTTAATATAGGAAAATTTTCTCACAGCAGTGGTATATTTCACCAGCCTTGCTTAGCGATTTCACCATCTATTGCCATTTGTATTAGATATATATTTGGAATGATTTTCTCTGGGATTATTTAGCTAGCTACCAGTTGCTTTGAGAGCCAGCTAGTAGTCCGGGTAACTGATGGTTACCTTCATGATTGGAAATTCTTGTTGCCAACCTGTCAGGTAAGTAGAGCGTTCATTTCTTTATATGACTAGTTCTTTTTCTGACTCAGAAATAACGATATTCTCTAGAATAATGTATTACTTTTTCTGGTGGGTGATATGATTCATGACTTTCCCGGAAACCTCATTCTGATACTTTGACATGTTTATTCTTTCTTTTTTTTTTTTTTTTTTTTTTTGAGAGGTTTTCGCTATAGGGCGCATGCCCTCGCCAGACAGACAGAGAGAGACATAGAGACAGATAGCGAGAAATCACCCCCCAGGGGGGATGGTCACGCTACAATCCCTTCTCCTCCATTCTCCTCTCGGGATCTTGGGCACGCATGCACACGCGCCCGGTATGAGTTCTAAGCCACTGGGTCTGGTTCGCGAACCGCGGTTGACTACATGGGAATCCAGCGATATAGCCATTACACTAACTGCTGGTTCCCTTGACATGTTTGTTCTGAACACACTGTCAATAAAAACAAAATTAGGATTACTGTAATACCAACATGAAAAAACTTTTCTGAGGAGACATGTGGACAGGAACTTTGTCTTGCAGAATGGAAGCCAATACTCAGAAGGAAATAACGGCTCTGAAACTGTGTGAAGGACACCCCAATATCGTGAAGTTGCATGAAATTTTTCATGACCAGGTACTCCACATTTTTCTTCTGTGTGTACTAAATACGTGCAGGGTTCTACTTTTCACTAGCTTTGTTGGTGCTTTCGAGTCAGAGTCAGGGATACGGGACCTCACCCAGCCACTGAGAAGAGAAGAGAAACTTCTGCCACACATCTCTTACCCACCCTCATGTCAGTTCATCCTTTTACACGCAGCAATCACCATGTATGACATGGAAGGAGGACTGAGGGGTCCTGTCTCAGTGGCACTGTCGCTGGCTACAGCCCCCAATAGCTTAATTACTGCCTACTTCTCAGTACTCAGTAGAATTGAACCTTCAACTTTCCTTTCACTTCTGGAATAGAACTTGAAAGAGTCTTCACCCTAACTACTGTAAGATCAAGGACGTAGGAAGCACAAGAGCAAAGGTAGTCCCTTCACCTCTTTGTTTCAGCTGGTGGATTTTGCTCAGACCTCAGGCTGGGTCTTGCTGTCCCCTTTTCTCCTTCCATCCCCGCTCTCCTATGAGAACCTAATGGAAATGTGTCACTTGAGATAGGAGAGGATGTCTGTGGTGCCAGGTCCGTGTTGCCTCTCAGCCTGTCCCACTGCCATCTCTCAGGACAGAAATTGTCCCATCACAGGAGTCTGCCCCCTAGGCTGGGTCAGATGCGGCTCGCCTACCCAAGACAACATGGAGGCACAAGAGCCAAAGCCAATTCTGAATGCGTTCTACTTTGCCATAATTTTTACCAGTGAACAGATTACAAGGGTTCATGAGACTTATCCAAGGTCACACAGCAACTCAGTGAAAATGCAGGAGGGAGAATCTGGCTTCCAGTGTGGGGCTGTCATCATTGTGCTTCTCTGACTTCTGTGACCTAGGACAGCTGGGGCCCAGTTCTCTACCACATTGAAGTCTCCCAGTGGACGATGACCAAGAATGGCATGCGGTGGTGAGCACTGGGCAGCAGCAGCGGAAGCGTCACAGCTGTAACAGCTGCCACATTCATTATCACATACCTTCCGTGGTCCGGGTACCTCACCAAACACTGCACGCATTGTATTATTCGGTCCTTACCGTAACTGTGATGGGAGGAAATGGAAAGTCATAGAAGTTAAGTGCCAGGGCTCACAGTTTGTAAGTGGTAGTGCTTGGATCTGATTCCAGGCAGTCCCACTTCAGGGTTCAGCAAGCTTTCAGTTGCTTTGCTCAGCCTCAGGGGAGAGAGAAACAGCCTGGCTTTCACAGGCAGCGAGCACCCGAGATGGCATCATCCTCTACTTACTCTTTGGTTTTCGTTGTCAGAAGAGAAATGCCTTTGAGGCAAAGACACTGGGGGGGAGACCTGCTCTCCCTGCTGCTGCCCCCACCACAATAAGCTATTTAACTCGGCAGAGGTGGTGAGTTCTCTGGCCACTGCAGGCGCTTGAGACAAGATTGGGCCCAGACCCTGTGGAGCAGTTGGTAGCATGCTAGACTGCAGAGCTGGAAGCCACATGCGACTGCAGTTTGAGTTCCCAGCCCACTTATCCCAAAACCATGCCGGGCCCATGAAAGCACAGGTGATCAGGATCCTGGTAGGCCAGAGGACTGGACAAAGTGGATCGCAGCGTGACTAAGCACCATGGAAGGGGCTTCTCCCTATCTCACTTTCTCTCTCATGCGTCCATAAACTCTATCATACATTTTTAAGATTAGGGAGCAAGGGCGTGGTGGCTCCCGTCCTATGGCAAAAACCTATGGAGGCTGGAAGATTAGGGAGCAAAAAACTAGACAGTCTCCAGTTGAAGCTGATCTGGAAGAAATTCACATATCAATCAAGTGATAGATGAAAGATCTTAGAGGGCCCCTCTGGGTATGCTGCTGTTCCCCAGCAACATGCTAGCCACGACATGTGCTCTCCAACCTTCACACGGATGTCGGATCTCAGGCTCTCCAGCCCTCGTTTTGTATTTATATCACAAGTTAAATTGATTATTTGCTGTCATTGTATTTATGAGTTACTAGAATATAAATTATCTCATGGCATAATTCTATACATACTAGTGCAGATATGTTAACGTTCTAAAATGCAGTTGCTGAAATACGCCTTGTTTTTTCCCACAATAGTGACACGGTTGCCTAGACCGTCCCTGTGTCCACAGTCTTCTTTTCAACTAACAGGTGACATTGACAGGGGGTGGGTCTTCGGCCTTCATGCAGTTGTGCAGTTCTTGTTCTGTACTGGGGTCTGCTTTGCCTACTCTGTGAGTGTCCTGCTGCTGCTGGCCTGTCACCACAGACTTGAAGCGGTCAAGTTTATCAGCTTCAGCCTGGACACCCAAAGTCCAAGGTCAGCCTCACTGCTGTAAATCGAAATGTCGGTGGGCCGGTTCTTTTGGAGGCCCTCCACCAGCGTTCTTGCTTTTTAGCTTCTAGAGACCACCCACACTCCTTGGCTTCGACCTTCTGTATTCTCTCACCTCTTGCCTCCACCCTGTACTACTGACTCTGATGGAGAGTTCAGGGCATCTTCGCATCTCAAGGTCCTTCATCAAATCCACAAAGTCCCTTCACATCTAAGATGACAGCCACAGGTTCGAGGGCTTAGGACTGGACACCTTTGGCGGGGTGTTACTCAAGCTACTGTACACACATTTTGTTATTGTTACCTGCGTGTTATCGATAAGGGTCTTGGCGTTCAGATAGGTAAAGTAGCAGGATGGGAGGAACACGACTGGCGTTCAAATACCCCAGACCTATCTTTCTTTTTTTTTTCATACTGTCTTTCTAGGAGCACTTTTCTTTCTTCTTTTTTTTTTTTTAATATTTTTTTACTTCCAGAGAACACATACACACTCAGCAGAGACAGACAGAATGGGGAGGGGGAGAAAGCACCCTCCAGCAGCGTACAGTCATGCTGCGATCCCTTCTCCATTTCTGTGTCCTGTGTAGACCCTGCATATGCAGGCGCACACACCTCCCATGTCCTCTAAGCCGATGGGGCCAGGACTCAAACCCAGTTGGCCATGTGGTCCAGCCCACAATTTTCCTCTTTTTTTTTTTTCCTTTCTTAAGGTTTTTGCCATAGGGTGTGGACAGTGAGAGGAAAATCAACCCCCAGGGGAATGGCTAGACCTCAGTCCCTTCTCTTCCAGTCTCCTCTCAGGATTTTTGGGCATGCACATACACACACTTGGTCCGGGATTCAAACTGTAGTCAGCAATGCAGGAGTCCAGCACCTTAAGCACTCCACCACCTGCTGGTCCCCCACACAATTTTCTTAATAAGAAATTGTTGACCTTTTACAATTTGTCCTATATGTTCAGGATAATGTACTTACAATTGTGTTTTTTTATGAAGCGCTTTTTTACTGAGTTTTGCTAATTCAGAAGGAAACATATTTATTCATTGAGTGCTGGTACTGTAATGCATAACACCTGGATCTGAGTGAGCTGTTTTGAGAGTGGATGTCGTTTCTTTGCCTTTTGATAGCTCTTACGTTATTTTCTTTGTGAGAGTTTGTGTAAAGCATGGTAAACTTACACAGTAACTAAGACAGTGTCATTGGGATCAAAAGCAATCATTTAAAAAAATCACACTGTGAGTTATGGGTACAGGTTGAGTATCTCTTACCTGAAATGACTTAGGACCAGAAATATTCTAGATTTTGGGTTTTTTGGATTTTGGAAGATTCACACATATTTAATGAGATCTAAACACAAAATTCATTTTGTTTCGTACACTTTATACACACAGCCTGATGGTAATTTTATATCATATTTTATATTGCAGCATTTTAACTGCAGCCTGTCACGTCAGGTCAGGTATAGAAGTTTCCACTGGTGGCGTTATCGAATTCTTGCTCAGTTTTGGATTTTGGATTAGGGATGTTCAACCTGTATTTCCAAGTAGTACTAACAGGAACCTGAAGCTAATTTGTTGAGCCCTGACAAGGGGTACAAAGCAACATTATCAAACAATACCTTTTTAAACAGGTCAGTTTGCCGTTAAATGGGTGAGCCTGGCTTCATGTGTGCAGTTGCCCGTAGTCTGTAATCCTCTGTATTATTTAAAGTAGATGATTTCATGTTATTGTCAGCACTGGGTCCCACTTTAAAAAGAGAGAGATATAAACTTGATAGAGAGGGTTGGATCTCTTATTCAAATGGAAGAATTAGTCAGGAAAGGACTATAAAAAGATCTCACTGCAGTACTTCAAATTTTCCATGACCAAAATAGAATTCTGGAAAAGCAGCATTATCCTTCAGCTCTTTCCCCTAAAATACACGGATTGCTGTTTATTAATTTAACAAGGGGTTATTTAAACTTACTGGTAATAGAGAATAGTCAATAAATGCTTTACTCGTTCATAAACATCTCCCTCTCTTCATTAAGAGCCCCACATTATCCTTGGTTTTTTCCCCTAGCTTCACACTTTCCTAGTGATGGAACTTCTGAATGGGGGAGAGCTGTTCGAACGCATTAAGAAGAAGAAGCACTTCAGTGAGACGGAAGCCAGCTACATCATGCGCAAGCTCGTTTCAGCTGTGAGCCACATGCACGATGTCGGGGTGGTGCACAGAGACCTGAAACCCGAGGTATAAATGATGGCACCGCTGATGGAATCCCGTCTAGTGTTACGGCCCCCAGATATGTTTAGTTTCCACTTTTTGATTTGAATATTTTTATTTTGGGGACTATTACATAGGTACTTGAAATGTGTTTCCCCCCCCCATTTCTATTTCAGTCTAAAATAAAATCATCTCTTTTTCCCCCCAGCAGATCATCTTGAGGTTATATCTGTAAGTGTGAGAGCCTTTTATGGAAAAAATACTTTATGCAGCAGTTGTGGACTAAAAATAGCAATGGAAATTTTGTAGCAGAAAATAATATTCCTTCTATATGTAAACCATATTTAGAGGGTTTTTTTAAATGATGTGTCTTGAAAGCTTATTTTCCACATTTGTAATCACATTGATTAGCTCATGAACAGAAATGTATATAATTCTATTTAAAATACTTAAAGATTTGTCTTGGTTCAGTGAGTTATGCCATCTTTATATCTGCTTTTCTATGCTGATGTACTATAATATTTATAGAACTGTATAGCTGTCTAGAAGTTGCAGCTCTTTATATATTTCTTCTTCTTAAAAGGTTAATAAGTAAGTTCTCAACTGTAGAATGATCCCTTTTTGGTATCAAAAATATGAAAACCCCTCCTTTTTGAAAATCAACAAAGTAATAATGAAAATTGGAAAACAAAACCCAGTAATTTATTGAAAAAGTTAACAATGAATCACTCTTTACATATGCCAAATTATACATATTTCCTCTCCAAAATAGAACTTCGTTTTTAATTACCATGTGATTATAATGAAATTTCAAGTATATTTAAAATATTTTCTTTTTTTGTTGAATCACAACGAGTATTTCACTTAAAGCACCATTTTTGTCTTCAACTTAAGTATCTTTTCTTGTTGGAGGAAAAGAGTTTTTAAAATGGAATTATGTGCCTGCAAATATAATTGGTTTATTCCTTTCAGGTATTTAAACCTTTATCTATGTACTTTCTGTCTTCTGTATTACTAGTAATGTATTCTATTTTATTTACTATTATTTTAATTTGCTATAGGACATGCATGTCCATCAGAGAGAGAGGAAAAGTGAGAAAGCAAGCCACCAAGTCTAGGACTTGAACCATGGTCAGCGATGTGGGGGTCCAGTGCCTCAGCCACCATGCCACCTGCTGGCCCTGTATTACTAGTAATTAATCCAAAGTGAATTGTGTTTTATGAACTTGCAACTATGATGGCTCCCTCTGCTTCCTTCATCAGAGTTCTCACTCTCCTACCTAACGCCCACCGAAAATATGGCGCTCTGTATGTTGGAGATTAGCTGTCTATTTTTAAATGTGAAAGCACACCACTTAAATGTTTTCTTGATAGACAAGGAACAAGCATGTAGTTTTTTTAATTGAAAAGATCTGTTCCATGACGGCATAGAATTCATTTTCACATGTTTTACTCTTTGATAACTGGCCATCTGTTATCTCATGAGTCTGAAATGAGACAACTGTCCTCTCCAGCAGAATTTCAATCTGCCTTCCTACTTTTCTGGTAGAAAAGCTACTTAGGTTGCTTAATTCTTCATATTCATTATAAACTGTATCTTTCAAATAGCCATTTTGAAATGAAGTAGCATTGTCAAGACTATTTAGAATGTTCTACTCCAGTTATAGTCCTAAACAAACTAGATTTTGGAGAGATGAAATACACCTTTGAACTAACACTTTCATAATTAAATCTCTTTCACTTTGACTTTTAAGTGGCAGAGTCTATATCTACAAACTCAAAGTTCATTCCTTCTCCCATGTAGCATTTTTTTTTTTTTGAGAGGTTTTTGCTGTAGGGCACATGTACTCGCTAGAAAGACAAAGAGAGACAGAGAGACAGAAAGTGAGAAATCACCCCCTAGGGGGGTTAGCCACGGTGCAGTCCCTTCTCCTCCATTCTCCTCTTGAGATCTTGGGCACGCCCACACACGTGCCCGGCGTGTGTTTCAGCCCCCGGGTCTGGGACTCAAACCGTGGTTGACTACATGGGAGTCCAGTGACATAGCCATTATACCAACTGCTGGTCCCTCCATGTAGCATTTTAAGATCTGATTATATATCTTGCATTGATAGCTATGTGGGATTCATTTTTCACATAGGCAAAATCCTAAATTCTAGGTGAGAATCAGATAAATTTAGATGTTGGGTGACATTCTTAGTAGGTTGCTTTGTATTTTTCATACTGATCCTATGCTCTTCTAAGATTGAGAAAAGATATATATACACATATAAAATTAGTTTCAGGAAGAACTTGAGATGTGAATAAAAGATGGAATGGTTACCTCCTACCATTTCTGATGGTGTGTACGCACACACACGCACACGTGCACACACACCCCATGTAGAACTCTCTCTAACTCTCTACTTTGTACCTTGGGAGAGGAGGAAGGAAAGTGAGTGGCACTCCAGTTTTACAGGCTCAAGAGTAGAAGGAATGGGGCGAGCATATAGTGTAGCAGTTACGTCGCTGGACTCCCACGTGGTTGACCCGCAGTTCGAGTGCCAGACCCAGTGACTTAAAATTCATGCTATGTGCGTGCATCCCCAAAATCCTGAGAGGAAAATGGAGGAGAAGAGATTGTGACATGGCCATTGCTGCATGGCCATCTCTTGCTTTCTGTCTCTCTGTCTCTGTAGTGAGTGCACACAAGTGCACATGCCCTATAGCAAAAATCTCTCTCAAAAAAGATAAAAAAGGGTAGAGGAATGAATTTAAATCATTGATTAAAGTGAATGCCATGTGGCTTCATTTCTTCCACTTTAAGATCGACGTGTCCGATCCAGGAAATTCTTGGCCAGTCTTAATATAGAATAAATTCTAGGCAACCCCAAAGTCTTAGTAGGCTCAGTGAATACAGGGACCAGGTGTGCTCCATTCCTTGCTCAGTGCTTTGCCCGTGGAGGAGCTTGGGGGTTATTTGCTGAAGGACTTCGCCCAAACAAATGTCCATGAACGCCAGCTCTTACTTTGGTCATCACAAATTCAGGATGAAGCACTGATAAAAAATTTAACAGAACTTTTCAGTTTGCTCTTTTGCTTCACTTTCCTCCTATTTTATTCATTTTTAACTTTTAATTGGAACACTTAGACAATTTTTCTTTTTGTACTAATGAAGCCTTCTCCTTCAGTTAGACTGGTATTAACAAAGCAAATGATGTTCTTAGCTGGGAATAATTTCGTGAATATAAAAGCATAACAGATTTTGTTGAGACGTCTAAAGACAATATAATCAGATTCACTTCTTTAGGAACTAGCTTGATGGGCGGATTCAAATGACTTGCATGTCAGTACAGTTGGCATTTATTAAGCATGTGATATATTCAGAAGTACTATAGTAAGGCCTTAGTGATCTAGAAGACTTGGTGGATGAATGATTCAAAATAATGTTTTCTTGGGACCAGCAGGTAGCATAGTGTTTAAGGCCCTGGAGTCCCACATGACCAATCACAGTTCGAATCCTGGACCTGGTGTCTTGAAACTCATGCCAGGTGCATGTGCATGTCCGCCCAAAATCCTGAGAGGAGAATGGAGGAGAAGGGATTGAGGCATGACCATCCCCCTGGGGGGTGATTTCTCTCGTCTTTTCTGTCTCTCCAGCAAGTGCATGTGCCCTATAGCAACATTCTCTCAAAAAAAAATAAAATAATGTTTTCCAAATATTGAGAGATAATATCTTGAAGTATCAAATATGTTTAAACATTAACTGTTTTCGCGAAAATATTTCTGAAAAGTAATACATACCTGTACCGTGTCTTCTTAATAGACTATACTAGGTATTTTATAGCTGTTCTGTTTTTTACTTCATTCAATGAACAGAAATTTTCTAAAGCACCTACCTACTCTATGACTGTGCCAGGCCCTAGGGACAGGTTTGCAAATAAAGTAGACATATAGTCCCTGTCCTTCTGGAATTGTAGTTTAATGGAGATGAAGAACTTAAACTAGTAACACAGAAACAATAAGTGTCAGAGGGAAAAGTAAATAGTGCTAGAGGAAAAATGGAAAGTTCTAACTTCGTCTGGTAGGATGGTTAGGGTGGCAGCTCTAAATGAGGAATAGGTGCCCATGAGCCAGGTTGGAAGGTAGGGTGGTGAAGGAGGTCTAGGTTGACAATCTCCACTGTGAAAATCTGAAATCTGCAGTGTTCCAACATGATGCCATAAGCGGAAAATTCCATATCTGATTCCACGTGACAGGTCACAGTCAAAATGCAGGCATATGCACAGTTTCTACAGCCTCCTCAGGGAAGTTCTCAGCTGAAAGCGAGAAACAAAAGTTAATGAAAAATGGGAAATTTGCATAAATCTAAGGAGTGGCCTCACCAGCATTCCCGTGAACACGTGCCACTTAATGGTATGCTGATCGTGAAACACGGCAAAGGTTTATCATGACAAACTGTGTTGAAGGGCACTGTGAATATTCAACAGGGTGTTGCAAAAATTTAAGAAAAGACACTGTTAAATTTTTAAAGATTTGTGGTGATAAAGCATCTGCTCCTCACCGAGTGGAAAAATTCATGGACAAGTTTGTTGAGGTTTTCGCTGATGTAAAGTCTGACTCTAGAACAAGCCCACAGTGCTATAAAATAGCATGTTTGGGGTATTCTTGCCCCAGGAGGACACTGACTGCAGCTGCTGCAGGAATTAAGGACGCCGAGGCCAGAGTGACTGTGCTGCGATGGGCTAGCGCAGCAGGCACGTGTCCTCTAAACTCGCCGTTAGGCAAGAGCTTGCCTCCTTGCTGTTTTAGAGAAGTTCATTTCCCACCAGTTCATTATTATGTAGCAAAAAGGCTTGGATCCCCAGGGACATCTTTTCTGATTAGTTTCACAGACATGTGCCAGTGGCTTGTGCTCACTGCAGAGCAGCCAGGCTAGATGACGACTGCAAGATTGTGTTAGTCCTTGATAACTGTTCAGCTCACACTCCAGCTGAAATTCTCATTAAAATAATATTTACGCAAGGTACTTTCTCCCAAACACGACTCTAATAGTTAGCCATGTGGCCTGAGTATCCTTAGATCAATGAAGAGGAAATAGAACACAGTCTTGAGCAGCGTGCCAGCAGCAGTGAGCAGAGGCATGGGCGTGGATGGTTTTCTAAAGGAGCTTAAGCGTGAAGGATGGCACGGATGCACTAACCGATGCTTGGGACACAGTGACTAAAGACACCATACCTGCCTGGAATGGCTGCTGGCCTATGACTGTGTTCAGTGATGATGATGAACAAGGGGGTAACTGAAGGATTCCATGTGAAGTAGGAAGAAACTTGTCCGATCTTACGAATGCAAACAGAGTATTTCGACAAGCTGGAAGACATGGCTATTGAGGAATTTCTTTAACGTCAATAATGAGGCTCTGGCTGTTCATTTATTGACACAGGGTGAAATACCTAAAATGGTTCTGAATCGAGGTGATTGTGGTAGTGAAGATGACATTGGGGTTTTTTTAAATTATTTTCTTAATTTTATTTTATTCATTCATTTATTTTTTAAATTGACCAGAGAGACACACAGAGAGAGTAAGAGAGAGAAAGTGAGAAAGCAAGCCACCAGGTCTGGGACTCGAACCGTGGTCAGCCATGTGAGAGTGTCCAGCACCTTAACTACCATGCCACTTGCTGGTCCCAAAGATGACATTGTTAAGACTGCTGGGAATGTGTCTAGAGATACATGGTGAAAATGCGGCTCAAGCAGCATGCATTCATAACAGCACAAGAGATCACGTCAGTTTATAAAATCAGGAGGCTCCTAAGACACAATCTACTGTTAATGAGACAGATGGCTCTGGAGGAAACATTTATAAAAGCCCTCCAGCAGAGTGCCTTCTCATCCCCTGAGGACCCACTTCCTGGTCCCTCAACTCCCTTCTGATATTTCTTCTTACTTTGAAAAAAAGAAATAAAGTATACAGAAACCTTTGAATCAAAACCAGCATCCTACATGGGGACCGAAGCCTGTGGTTGTTGCTGTTGTCTAGCTGCTGATACAGTATTCTGGTGAGGCTACGTGTGGCTTAGTTACCTGAACACATTACTGTCTCACTGTATTAATGGTTTCCTATATATTTTTACTGTTAAGTACTTACATCTGAATAAGTGTAAGAAAAACGGTGGCTTGTCAATAGCATATAATTCAGAATCAGGAATGATGGTGATGCCAAACAAGATTGTCCACAAGGGTGGCTAAAATAGTGACACCTTTGCTTTCTTACTATTTCAGTGTACACAAACTTTGCCTCGTGCACAAAATTATTGAAAATGATGCCTAAAATTACCTTTATATTACTTGTGTAAATGCGTTTCATGTTTATACTTGGGTCCCATTCCCGTGCTGTCTCATATTGTATATACAGATTGTTGAAAATCTGAAATCGGGACCAGCAGTTAGCGTAATGGCTATGTTGCTGGACTCCCATGGAGCCAACTGTGGTTCGAATCCCAGACCCGGTGGCTTAAACTCACGCCGGGCGCGTGTGCGTGCATACCCAAGGTCCTGAGAGGAGAATGGAGGAGAAGGGATTGCGGCGTGGCCATCCCCCCCGGGGGGGGGTGATTTCTCGCTTTTTGTCTGTCTGTCTGGCAAGCGCATGCGCCCTATAGCAAAAACCTCTCAAAAAAAATTAAAAAATCTGAAATCTAAAATACTTCCAGTCCCAGTCATTTTGTATAAGGGAATTCAACCTGTGGAAGACAAACTCGAGCAGAGGAAAAGTGTAGACAAGGGATCTGACATCAGAAGAGGCATGAAACACTTGGGAAATGTTTCTGTTGTAGCATCAGTGCATTGAAATCCAGCCTTTAAGACACCGTAATCAGTGTGAATCGACAACCCTCGGAATGGGAGAGAATTTTTGTTAACTGTGCCTCAGATAAGGGACTGATACCCAGAATACACAGGGAACTCAAGTGGCTTACCAGGAAGAAAATGATTAACCCAATTAAAAGATGGGAAAATTAGCTGAATAAACAACTCTCTAAGGAAGACATACAAACAGCCAAAAAGCATTTGAAAAAACGCTCAGCATCCCTCATCATAAGAGAGATGCAAATCAAAACCCAATGAGATACTACCCAGTCAGAATGACAAAGATTCAAAAAAAAAAAAATGATAAGAGCTGGAGGGGATGTGGTGAAAGGGGAACACTCCTACATTGTTGGTGGAAATGTAAATTGGTCCAGCCACTGTGGAGAACAATATGGAGGTTCCTCAAAGACCTTCAAATACAACTACCATATGATCCAGCAATTTCACTCCTGGGTATTTACCTGAAGGACAGGAAAATGCTCAGTCAGAAAAGCACTTGCACAAGTATTTTTATTACAGCATTATTCATGATTGCTAAGACATGGAATCAACCCAAGTGTCCACAAACATGAATGGGTTGAAAAAAGTATGGTACATAAACTCCATGGAATGCTATTCAGCCATAAAAAGCTACAAGGCCCTGGAATTTGATAGAAAGTGGACAAATATGGAAGATCTGTTGAGTGAAGCAGGTCAGGCTATAAAAGAGTGACATTGTATGTCTCCACTTAACATGTATCAACTGTCTGCGCTCTATGGTAGAGACTGAAAATCCGGAGGACATAAAAGCATTAAAAATTGTTATGAACACTACAAAGTGGAAGGAACGTGTGGGAGGGGAAGAGCAT